TAAACAAGGGCTTATTTGAGAATATGGCTTCATACAGTACCAGTATTAATGTAACATTTTGCCATGCATTTTGTTCGGCATTCAATCGCTTACTCCTGTGTGCCACGTGACCAGGGTTTTAAGCACTTGCTGTACTTTACAGCACGGTAGGAATTTCAGGTGGAGATGGGGTTGAAACAAATGAACAAAAGCACATTGGCTAAGCCACTAAATTATACATCCAGCTAAGTTTGAGTGTATGTGCTTTCAGAGTTTGAGACGCAACAATGTAGCACACAAGCACATTTTGACGAAATATTACATTAACTGACGGCAATAAGTCATTTCAATATTACTGATTTCCCAGATTGCCTCCATTCATTGGAAACCATTAATGTGAAGTAAAGTTTTAAAACGAACACTAATCAGTAGGGAAATGTATTGTAGTGGTTACTTGAAGTTTCAATCATTTTTGTTGAATAGGTTTAGGCTTTATATTGGTCCATGTAAAAAAAAATCTAATCCATTGAGCAATATATTCTTTTTCAATGGGGACATGCTCACAAAAACGTGATTACAAAAACAACCTGAACAAAACAATCCAAAAACAACTGTACATGGCCAAGTTTCAAATGGAAAGGTCTGCATCAACATGGTACAACGAGCACATTAAAACCAAGGCTAAAAAACAATACGTGCCAAAAATATATATGTAACGTAATGTACGCAAAGCAGAGTATTCATGTAGTTGTGGGATACGAATTTCGTACAGTCTATTTACGAATTTACCCTCTTATTTACAAACAATGTTTGAGAGTACTGTACGGTATATAATTGGATGCCGTTCTCATACACTAAATGGGAACAACTTCCAAATGCCGGCGAATAATAGGAACTTATTGGTACGCTGGGAATCGAAGTCTTAGTGGACAATATAAGTTGTGGGTACGTAGTATGGTTGCGGACAAGAGGAGTTCTGCACAGTAGTTAATTGTTTGACTGCACATGAGTGGAAATAGCCTTGCCTCACATGCATACCTGTCAACCCATACGGTTTACCCATATTCTTGTACAGGTAAATTGAGTTTTCAGGTCCGTGCGGCATATAGCCATTTCAATACAGGCAAAACAAATGTCTATTTGCATGTTTCTCCCTTTTGATGGGACTTTGTAAGATGAACGTTGAGATTCATAAGGGGCACGGGGTGACCAATACGGTCTGAATTGGTCTGTAATAAGGTAGGCACTGACAAGGAGGTAACAGGTATGCAGACTGCTGGTGGTAAGTGCTATTAACAAGTAGCACTGATGAAGGCCGGAACAGTACACGAGGGAGTGGGTGGCCATCATCACGCCGACCACCTTTGTCTCCCCAGTGGCGATGCTTACACTGATGCCAGGTACTCATTTAAGGCCGAGTCGACCTAGGGGAGACCCAGGGCCGCCTCAAGACACACACACACGGCGTGCTTGACAGCGGGGATTCATTATGTTGATAAACAAACAGCAGAGGGAAGTTACTTTAAAATGGGACCTTTTTCCCAGTACCAAAGTATCAAAAAGTAAGAATAGGTTTTTCCCTTTCTGGAAAAAAAACAGGTGTCAAGATGTTCAAACACCAAATAGAAACATTTTGCAAGGAATCAAGTCTGCATTAACCACACGCATATTATCAGAGCATGTTTTGTGTTTTGCATGTTCACGTACGTGTGGTAAATTCAGTACTCGATTCCTTGCAAAAGGTTTATATTTGGTGTTTGAACGTCTTAACACCTCTTGTTTTATTGCCAGAAAGGGTAAAACCCATTCTTGGTTCATAATTTGATACTGGCAAAACAGGTCCCATTTTGTAGCTGCTCACCCCGAGCCATGTGTAGTGTCAGCGGAGCGGGAGACAAGGTTCTTGAAGAGGCACCTTCTTTATTCAATACTTTCAGGTCCACAGGTTCATCCTCGCTTCTCCCGAGTCGTCTAGCCGAGCCTTAACACAACCCTGACCGTGTTACACCGACGGCGCTGACCAAGACAGCCAAGAGCTATCCGGCCGACGGCAGCGACGAAGGCGGCGAAGACGACAGCGATGACAAGACGTGTCCACTTCCCAGAACCGGCAGCCACGAGCTCTTCGCTGCTTTTATGCTACCCGGTGCGGCCTGGCTCTGCCCTGGCCGCGCCTCCCTTCTCGAACCCACTTGCGGGTGTCAGGGGCTTCTAGACGGGGTCTTCTATGACCCTTGCCCCAGTTCTTCCGCCCTTCTGACACACCCGTGTATATGCTCACCGGTGTGTGTGTACTGCTCGTCCACTGGAGTTGCCGTTACTGGACAACAGACGGCGCTATTACACTACAAATGCTCTGATAGTGCATTGTCCTTGTACTGCTCGCCTTTTGGTGCTCTCTGGTCTGCCACTGGTAGTGATGTAGTGGTTTCACTGAGACACACACTTGTTCTTGGAGGCAACACGTTTATTTAACAACCCCAACAAGGTAACTCCCTAAACGCACAACGTAGCTAACAAGACCCCAACGGGGTCACTACATAACGTACAACACAGTTAACTCTGTGCTCTGGTCCACTACCTAACCATACAACGGGATACTACATAGCGGTAACCACCACGGGGTAACTATATAACCGGACTAGGTCCGTTAACAGTTTGCTCCACGACTAACAAGCCCCGAAGCCCGGAGACCGAAGAGACGTAGACGGCGGTTGATTCCCAGAAGACAGCCCAGATCGCTCTCGGGACTCGTCTCTTATGCTCCTCAGCGTGGCCTGGCTCCGCCCTCGGCCACGACCCCCTTCTCAATCTTATCAGAAGAACGAGGACCCGACACCACGTGTCCCATTACCTCTTCTGTACGGTCACGTGCCCTCTCGTGTACACCCAGACCAGGGGTCGGCAACCTACGGCTCCGGAGCCGCATGCGGCTCTTTACGGGCTGCTTCTTGACGATATGTACGTATGTACAGTATGTACTCAGATGCATTGCGGCTCTTGAAATACTGAATTTTGTACCGAATTGGAAAGAAATGGCTCTTCTTGTTATTTTGGTTGCCGACCCCTGACCCAGATTATTATGTCCTCCCATGCGCCCCTCTCTGCATTCACCAGAGCCATATCCCTCATGGACTCTACTTGGTGCCCCAGCAGCACACGCCGCTGACAGAGAGGGCCATTTACACCCGGGTTCTCCTTGGAACTGCAACTGGCGCCACGCGTCGTCACGACAGTGAGACTCGACCCTACAGAAGGCTTGTCTCTGGTGTATGCCAATAAGTTTCAAAGACAATGAAAATATATAATCAGAGCATGTTTTGTGTTTTGCATGTTCACCACACGTATGTGTGGTTAATGCAAACTTGATTCCTTGCAAAAGGTTTCGAATTGATGTTTGAACATCCTAATACCCGTTTTACTGCCAGAAAGGTTAACATCTATTATTACTTATTCATACTTTGATACTAGCAAAAAGGTAACCCATTTTGTAGCAACTCACCCCGAGCTGTAAATACCCTGGTAGTGCATTGTCCTTGGACTGCTCGCCTTTTGGCATTCTCTGCTCTGACACTAACGAGACTTGGCCAGGCCAATCAGTAATAAGTATAACCCGTAAAAACAAAGTTTTTCACTATAAATCCTTTATATGCGTGGCGGCTAGAGTCCTCTCGTCCTCTGGCTTGAGATGGCTGCCACCTATGGGTCAGGTGATTGTCTGCCAGTATTAAGCAATTGGTAATTAAATATTTAATTTGTTTTCCCTAAACAGTGTAAAATTTGGAGAAAAAAAATTCACGAACATTGTCTCGCACAACGAGTCTGTGTGCAAAATGTCAGCTCGATTGGATCACGGGAAGTGGATTAAAAAAACGACCGAAAGATTTGCACGGTCGTAAGCAAGCAAGCAAACACGCAAGCATGCAAGCAAGCAATCAAACTTAATATAAAGGATTACATTTTTTTTATATATCGTCAGTGCATGCGTTTTGCGTGTTCACCACAAGGCGCTGTGCGTGGTGAATGCAGTTCCAGTGACTCGATTCCTTGCGGAAGAAGTCACCGGTTTTTTTGTTGTTGTTGCCTCTCGGTTTCTCCTCGCACCGGAATCACTCGCAGAGTGGGTGGGACGGCGTCGTCGTCGTGAAAACGATTCGGGGCGGCGATAGGGAAACAAAACAGAGCCTCAGCTATCGCGCCGAAGGGGGTGTGAGCTGGCCAAACCAGTCCGAGCACGTTTTATATATATAGAATCCACACACACACACTACAAACAATTGAATAATCATCTCTCTCGAAACACACGCAAGAGAAAGTCGTGTGTCACACAGTTCCGCACTGTATGTAAACCACACACTGCACACACTGCACAGACACATATATATGCAGTACTTGCATCTTACGTTTAAACTACACACTGTCGCAACGTACGCACAACGTACAAGTTCTACATTGTTGTACGGTACATAGGGGCTGTGATCGGCACTGCACGAACACCGAGGGTAGCCAGCACACTTAGTACATACCAGCTCACACACACACCACTGCATTGTAAGCGAGAGTGAATATCGATATGTTTAGCGCATATTTGTAGACACTTTATCGAACGTGTGTGTACGCGCGCTATACGCAGCACACAATTTCGCCGAACCGCACTGAACGTAGCTTAACACACCGAATGTGAATACACAAACACACGACTGACATAGTTCTAGGCCATGCACGCTGCATTCACTCCCTGACTGTTAAAAGCACCGGCAGGTGATCTCAGGTGGAAGCAACACGCGAGACGTGGCACGCCGTGCACGTGCAACAGACGTGACCACGATGGGCCCCAAACCCACGACCCCACCGTCGATGGCGATGCAAAACAAAAGCTGTGTACACAGCGGGGCAGGGTGGCGACTTCACTGGTGACAGCACGCACACTAAGCCACGCTGCATAGAGACTGCTTATTGTTATCATTGCACACGGTGCACACACACACACCCCCCCTACATCGACACACCACTGCGTCACACCTGTGCAAGTCAGCTGTTCGTAAACTTCCCTGCAGTGGCGTGTCGCTTTTCAGTGTACCACCACCATCATCATCGTATGTTCTAGTTTATCACTCTCGTTCTTGTTTCATCTCCCGAGCCGCGACGAACAGGTTGAGAACTTGGGACAGAAAGTTTGTGCTTGATAGAGAAAGTTGGGGGGGAAATCCAGATAAGATCCAGAAATTTGTGCTTGATTGAGAGAGTGGGGGGGGGGAATCCAGAAAAGATCTAGAAAGTTGGTCCTTGATTGAGAAAGTTGGGGAAAATTCAGAAAATATCCAGAAAGTTTGTGCTTGATTGAGAAAGTTGGGGGAAATCCAGAAAATATCCAGAAAGTTTGTGCTTGATAGAGAAAGTTGGGGAAAAATCCAGAAAATATCCAGAAAGTTTGTGCATGCTGAGACCAACCCCTCACCCCCCCCAAAAACAACTTTGGACCGAATGAGTTCCATTGCCATTGCTCCGTGAAGTTTTAGTGAAGTCCATTGACGTTATAAGCTAAGCGCCACACGGCCATAGATAGCCACCCACGTGCGTTGTTGTGAGTTTCCGCGTTTGGCTCACGTTTGCCGTGCCGCAAATACAGCGACAGAGAGGTGCAGGTGGGTGGATTACAACCATGGCAAGCGTCACCATGCGAAAGTCGCAGAAGAACCGCGTTTACTGTTTACTGATCGTGCTGTTTGTTTTGGTGATCATCTACATGCTCAGGTGAGTCGCGTGCAGGTGAGAGTGTGTGTGTGTGTGCACAGATGATTGAGTTTATGCGTGCAGGTCAGTGTGTGTCTTAAGTTCAGGTGAGTGTGCGTCTCAGTGCAGAGGAGTGTGTGTGCAAGTGAGTGTATGTGCACAGGTGAACGTGTGCAGGTGATTGCGTCGAAATGTGCTGGTCAGTGAGTTTGTGTTTAGGTGAGTGTGCAATTGAGTTTCTAAGTGCAGGTGAGTGTGTCTTGAGTGTACAGGTGAGTTTGTGTCTTGAGTGTACAGGTGAGTTTGTGTGCGAGTGTGTGCAGGTGTCTTGTGTACAGATGAGTTTGTGTCTTGAGTGTACAGGTGAGTTTGTGTGCGAGTGTGTGCAGGTGAGTGAGTGTGCAATGTAGGTAATTGCGCGTCGAGCTTCAACGTTTAGGTATGTGCACACTGTAGGTGAAGTTGCATGGAGGCAGGGCGTGTAAACTGGTGAGTGGACAGATGTGAATGCACAGGTGAGAGTGTGCGTAGGTGAGTGTACACGCGTGACGATTATCAGAACCGGACACGAGCCTCTCTTATGTCAACTCAGCTCATGAGTGCCTGGTGCGGTGTGTAGTAAACATCGCCATTGGGGAGACAAAGGCGGCCGGGCGTGGTTCTGATCACACACCCCCTCGTGTCCCGGCCGTCATAGGCGCTCGCTAACAGCGTTTGCCCCGAAAGTATGTTAGGGCTATACGGGGGAATCTGTGTCTTTCAGATATCTCTGCAAGTGAGTGTGTGTGGAGGTGCAGAGATGGGTGCGTCTTTGAAGAGGTGTATTTTCACAGGTGTGTGTATGTGGATTCCAGGTGAGCGTACCAATTCAGTGGTGGAGGTTAGGTTAGGTGTGTGTTAGCGAGGTGTATGTATGTGAGCTGTATGTCGACTGTTTGTTGTATGCGCTTTGCAGTTGAGTGTTCAGGTATATTTAAAAACGTGTGACTACCGTAATCGAATTATTGCACAGTACAATGCCATACTTAAGAAAATCATTTAAATATTGTTACAGGATATATCTAAAAGACATGTATATGAAAAAAAAGTACAGTGTGGTTTAAGTCTACAGGACTGTATTTTAATTTAACCAGAGTATTACTTGAACATCCACTCCAGAGATATTGCAAGGTTCAGTCCTTATTGGTTGTTGAGTCAGGACATTACATGGAAATGTAGAATTTCTACTCCACTGCCATGACGGTCAAATAAGATGTGCTCTGCCACCAAAGCGGTGCACTCCGACTTAATCTGACTGCCATGACTGCCACTGGTTTAATCACACCGCAATATCTTGTCTTGGATCAGACTTGGTGGTGGATGTGGCACGTGCCACTCTGCTAAGGGGGCTCTTAGGCACTGCAAGTTGGGTCTGCTTGGCATATGGACTTGCAGTCCAGCCCGACCACTGCTGTCTCTGCTTCAGCCGGCATTTAATTTGTACATAATACAAGTACATGTCCCAGCCCTGTGCTGCTGTTTATGTAAATCGTTATTGTTCAGCTCAAGAGTTGTATTTAATGGGTGGCTCTAGGCGCTGAATGAAGCACAACAGTATTTTATTGTGCCTGTTTTGGAGAATTGAGCCAGCAACATTGCATTAAATCGTGGCACAGATGCCAGGCTCCCACATAAGCTCACAACCACCTTTTAATGATCCCTGATGTTCGTCCTCTACATCACCACGGTTGAGAAGAGTTATACTGTAATAAATGAACAATGGCCTATTTTGCCACATAGACATGACAGAAAATGTACAGTATTCATTAGTTGAATACTGTATTAAGGTTATTTGTGCTGAATCGGCCTGTCCGGTAGTGCTTATGCGAAGCATTTTGCCGAAAATGTTGGTCCGCTTCGTTCAACTCAGCAAAATTTGCATAAAAGGTCTGGTTCTGCTGATGAGACTCGAAACCAGACCAGAATTTTCCCGCTTAAATTATTCTGGAAAACATTGCTTTAAACTGCCCATAGGCAAAAAACATAGCACGGTTGGCCACGTGCTGCAAGAAGTTCAACATACAGTACATACATTAGTTAGAATACACGTTTTTCCACTGGTGAGAAAGTACCTCCTTTTAACTACATCATTTGGAATCACAAAAGGTTACTTTACATGCTAAGACATTTATTAGAATGCTGCACAGTATTTTATAGGCTTGTCAACATATTTCATTGTTGTACGCAATTATGTGCTTGCTTCCACTTTGGCCTGGCAAGTAATATGTTCGTTTTAAGTGGTTAGCTTGTTCAGTTTTTAACTCTGCGACCAACGTTCGATTCCCAGCCTTGGATAACTTCAGTATCAGAACTGGACATGCCCTCTACCCCTTTGCCAACTCGCACTGACCTGCGCAGTGAAGTATGGTAAAAAAAAAACATAACAGACATGATTAAGGGAATGCCATTCATTGGTGGATCGAGAATGGCTGGAATTACTTTTATGCTGCACTTAGCAGACTCAATACATCTATTACAGTATTTTTTCCAGTAACTGAAATGACCTTTTCCCTATACTGTACCATAGAGTGCATTGCTGATAAATACAATTTGAAACAGTTTTTCTGACCACTTATTCAACCTTTATGGCTGGGTACAGCCAAATTAAATAAAGGCCAATTTTACTACGTGGAATATTTCTGCAGTCTACATACAATATTGCACTGTTCTTATTGACTTATATGAACCCACTAAACTCCCAGCACTGAACGCTATTGCAATACCGAATCCTGCACATTCGCAACAAAGGTATTCATTGACAGCTTGCGTGAAGGAGCAAAGCTTGTTAACATATTGTTGAATCGGCAACATTGCACAACCCTTGTGGGTTTTGGGCCAAAGTGCATTGCTATAAACGTAGAAAACCTTACGTTTGACCTTTGAGTTCTCCCTCCAATAATGGGAGAGTGCGTATAGATACTTTGAACCAAGGGATGTGTTACACAGAGTGCAGTACCGTACTTAAGGTGCCAATCAAAGTCCACACAGCCAGTGTCTGTGCGGAATCGGGCACAGAAAAGGCAACGTATTTTTGAGAGGTAAGTGCCAGTCATTAAGCTCTCATTGTCACCAAATAATTCTAGATTTGAAGTTTTCGTGACCTGATGACGGAAGCTTGTGTTGCCTTCGAAACGTGATTTAATTTAGTTATTTTCATTCTTTTTTTGCATCTACGTGACTTTACCGAAAGAACCAAAGAGTATGTCACCAAATAAATGAACTCCATTAGGCTAAATTCAGCCATTTAAACCTTTTTTAAAATTCATTTTCATCGTGTTCACTGTCCGTATTTAGTACTGTACTATATTTTACAACAGGCTCGAAATGCCATATGTTATATGGCGCTGTTAATTATATTCCTGTAATTAGTATAATAATTGTCAGCCATGGTCTCTCCAGTGCTGGATTAAGGCTTCTCCATGCCTTCATGTGGTTCTGGTCCATGTCATAGCAGGTAATATACATCGAATAAACACTTTCCTCTTCGGGCACATTGGTATCTTGCTTTTCATTGTGAAGTTCAGTTTTCCAAAAGCACTCCAACCTGATCTTGCGTGCCTGTTTCATCATTTAGATTATGGTCCACATTGATTAATTTTCCAAGGGTTTCTAAATGTTTCACTGTTTTCCAGTTGTGTCGCTTAAATATATAGTTTGTATCTCTTTTTCTTACTTGTACAGGAACTGTAGGAGGCTTTTGTTTTACCATGTTTATTGAGCCGAAATGAACATCTTTGTTAAGATCTTTGAATTTTCTGTAATTTGTTTCCATTGGTTTGTATAACTGTGTTGTAATTAAAATAGAAGACCTCCGTTTATCTTCATGCATTTATTTCTCAATCCAATTTTCCGAAATTTCATATTAATCTTGCTGTCAACGGCTTTGGCGATAGTGTATTTTTTCATCTGCTCTCTAATGTGTATGGTATGGAATAAACTAGTGAGTGGTCGGTCTCAGGTGAGAGGTGAGAGGTCAGTATGTGATAGCGACAGGTGATTGTGGTGCGATTGCCATGTCACGCAAGTCCATAGAGCGGGTGAGTTGCCCACCGGTGTGTAAGGTACACATCTTTTAACCCCGGTGAAAACGTTTCCAGAACGACATCTGGCACTAAACTAGAAAGTCTTGGCAGCACAAGCGTCATCTCCAATGGAGGCAAGATATATGAATCCACTAGATAAGAAACAAATTTTGTTCACATCGTCGTTCTAACTGGTTTTTATATAATAAAATAAATAGTGTACTTGATTTAGATGTTATTTTAAAGGAGGGATACTTTATTTCAGCTGACCCATTGATTTTGCGGACTCTTTATACTCATTCAAATTGGTAAAGCAAAGACTGTCATTGTTAAGTCACTCAGATCTACCTTTTCTATTTGAACAGAATTGTGATGTAAAAAAATACACTTACTTGCTCTGTATCTGTTATTTAAATCCAGTGAAAGCACATTATGACGAGTCCTGTATTAACATGAAATAAAAGTGCAAGGATAACTAAGCACAATATGGTGAATTAATTAATTAACCTATTCTGAGCTCTTTGACCATCCCAAAAGTTCTACCCCCTACTGTGCATGCATCTTTTGTGTATCACTCTGTGGTTACTGTATTACATTAACTCATGGCATGTTTGGATTTTAAAATGGACTCTGAAATTGAAAACAAAAGTTATGCAGTTAGCAATTGGCCACACCTGATGTGCTATTAATGTACACACTGCAGGAGACGTGTTTAGTGCAATTTGCTCTTGCCTAGATGCAGTAAAATAAGAACATTCACTTGGTCCAAACTAAAGTCATTTGCAGAAATGCTTTTCCTGTAAAGATGGTGATTGAAAAAAAAATTGCCTAATTTTCACAGAATTCTTAGTAAAGACAATAACATCTGGTAACTTGGCAACATTTGTTTAGTTTGTTGTCCTTCCCCTGCACCTCCGATTATCACGGTTGGCGATATACGGTGAAAGGAACTTCAATATACATACGTACATAACAAGCCTGATGAGACCTGAAAGATCAAAACCAGGCCAGAGTTTGCTTACTTGAACAAATGCTGTTTGACAATAATTGGTCTGGAAAACCAATACGCAGATGTGCTACACTTTATATACATTGAGACAGACCATAGTTCTGCTTATATATGTTTTTTTCTGAATTTTCTACAACAACGCATCATGATTTTTAAACATACCATACTCCCAGCAGGGCATAACCTCAGCTATGCATCTTCACACCCCACCCTGTGCTGCAGAAACCTGCAGAGCGAGGTTCAGTTGGACATGGATGAAGAAATCCTGAAAGCCGACCTCAAAAAGTCAGGCTCACTGAAGACACATGGTCAGGAGTTCACGCTTGACGGAGAGGCGCTGCACATCCTGGGAGGATCGGTGCACTACTTCCGCGTACCCCGGGAGTACTGGCGCGACCGCCTACTCAAGCTAAAGGCGTGCGGCCTCAACACGCTCACCACGTGAGGGCCGGGGCTTGATGCTTCCATGCATCACTCATGATCCAGCACTCGCTCTTTCAGTGTAGCTACTTTCTGGAGGCGTCGGTCACCTACTTAGGACTCTTCTGTCGCTGCTACCGTGGTTACTATTTCTGTGACTTCACTCATGGATTAATTACATTTACTTCCTTTGCTGGTGGTCAGGTGCCTCATCCCCTTTCGATTGCAACTACCATGGTGACTGTTGCCATGAACTTCACTTGTTGATTCCTCCATCCATGGAGGGGGTTTAGGCTACCAGACTTGACTGTTTCATTTCATCCATACTGTGTTCAACCACCACAGTGCAGTTCAAAACACTTATCTTTGTGCTTCTTTAGTTGCATTGCTTAACTTGGGAATTCACGCCCCATCGTTTATTTTATCCAAGTTCCTGTAACATTGTTCAATTTAAGAAACACTAGTGGGAAGTACCCAGCGTTGCCTGGGCGAAAAAGACACACACACATCGACTTACACACACGCAGACATTGACCCACACACACACACATGGACTCACACACATCGACTTACACACACATCGACTTACACACACGCAGACATTGACCCACGCACACAAACACATCGACTTACACACACGCAGACATTGACCCACACACACACACATGGACTCACACACATCGACTTACACACACATCGACTTACACACACACAGACATTGACCCACGCACACAAACACATCGACTTACACACACGCAGACATTGACCCACGCACACAAACACATTGACCCACACACACACACATAGACTCACACACACATCGACTTACACACATGCAGACATTGACCCACGCACACAAACACATCGACCCACACACACACACATGGACTCACACACATAGACTCACACACACATCGACTTACACACACGCAGACATTGACCCACGCACACAAACGCATCGACCCACACACACACACATGGACTCACACACATAGACTCACACACACATCGACTTACACACACGCAGACATTGACCCACGCACACAAACACATCGACCCACACACACACACATGGACTCACACACATAGACTCACACACACATCGACTTACACACACGCAGACATTGACCCACGCACACAAACGCATTGACCCAAACACACACACATGGACTCACACACATAGACTCACACACACATCGACTTACACACACGCAGACATTGACCCACACACACACACATGGACTCACACACATAGACTCACACACACATCGACTTACACACACGCAGACATTGACCCACGCACACAAACGCATTGACCCAAACACACACACATGGACTCACACACATAGACTCACACACACATCGACTTACACACACGCAGACATTGACCCACGCACACAAACGCATTGACCCAAACACACACACATGGATTCACACACATAGACTCACACACACATCGACTTACACACACGCAGACATTGACCCACGCACACAAACACATTGACCCACACACACACACATGGACTCACACACATAGACTCACACACACATCGACTTACACACACGCAGACATTGACCCACGCACACAAACACATTGACCCACACACACACACATGGACTCACACACATAGACTCACACACACATCGACTTACACACACACAGACATTGACCCACGCACACAAACACATCGACCCACACACACACACATGGACTCACACACATAGACTCACACACACATCGACTTACACACACGCAGACATTGACCCACGCACACAAACGCATTGACCCAAACACACACACATGGACTCACACACATAGACTCACACACACATCGACTTACACACACGCAGACATTGACCCACGCACACAAACGCATTGACCCAAACACACACACATGGACTCACACACATAGACTCACACACACATCGACTTACACACACGCAGACATTGACCCACGCACACAAACACATTGACCCACACACACACACATGGACTCACACACATAGACTCACACACACATCGACTTACACACACACAGACATTGACCCACGCACACAAACACATCGACCCACACACACACACATGGACTCACACACATAGACTCACACACACATCGACTTACACACACGCAGACATTGACCCACGCACACAAACACATTGACCCACACACACACACATGGACTCACACACATAGACTCACACACACACATCGACTTACACACACGCAGACATTGACCCACGCACACAAACACATCGACCCACACACACACACATGGACTCACACACATAGACTCACACACACATCGACCTACACACACTTCAAGTTCATGTATTAGGTATAGCCCTGTGAGCCATTCGGCTCCGGTGCAACCGCAACAAACAAAAAACAAAAACATGAACAAGAAAACATCTTAAAGTTACTATGTGCAAACAGAAAAGACAGCAAAATATTGCAGAAAAAGCACAGTAAACCAACACTGTGTGCAAAAATCCCAGTGGGATGCAAGTCAAACAACAACAACCACAAGACAACTTAGATTAAGGCCATCAGTCTAACTCTGTACTACAACAAACAAATATGGCCAAACCAAAAAACTTTTCGAAAATCACCAAAATAAAGCCATAAAAGCAATTAAACAGTGATCATAGGAACTGTGACCGAATTTTCACAATAAACGACGTTAACAACATGTACTACCAAACTCTGCAGCCATAGCTGGCTGCATGAGTCACTCCACAACAGCAGGAGCATCAGTCGGAGTTTCAACATTTTTCAATGCACCTTTAAGATCAGAACACTAATTCAAAACACAGATCATACTTTGCAGCGATCATCCGGAGCAAAACATTGTATTTTAGGCCACTGAATTGCAGTGGCAGCTAGGGGTGTACAATGGACTTACACACACACACACACATATTGACTGACACACACACATGGACTTACACACACACATGGACCCACGCACACATCGACTTACACACACGTGCATCGACTCACACACGCACCTCAACCGTTGGGAAAGAACCATCTGAGGACCCAATCAAAACCATCACCTTGCCATAAATAGCAGGGGTCACCAAAAAGATCTCCAAAATCATGAACAAATACAGGATCCAGGTTCGATTTAACACAGTACATAAAATTTGTGATCTGATCTCATCTATGAAGGATGTGATCCCTGACATGCAATACCCGGCGTCTACGGCAGTCGTTACATTGGGGAAACTAAGCGACATGTCTCGGACCGTGTTCGTGAACATAAGGCAGATCTGAAACACGGCAGGACCAATACCTTGGCCGTGGCTAATCATTGTTTTAATGCGGTGGGCTCACACGAAATGTATTTCTCTAAGACGAAGGTACTTTGCAAACCCACTGGCTACCAACAAAGATTTGTTCATGAAGCCATCCACATGTTCAGACACAGACACAACTTCAATCGAGAAGATGGGTATAAACTGAACAATCATTGGAAGGACGTTATCAACCAGTTTAAGTCATAACTGGCTGTGATGTTCCCATCCTACCACCTTCCGATGTTAGTTGTTATTTTCGGCTCTCTGATTTCACATTAACAGGTAAAATTTCCTACACTAACACAGCCACCTCGCTCGCCGAGCTCGACGTTGCTGCTCTGCGATCTTTCATCAACATGCTCATCTCTCACATTAACACGCTAATCTCTCACATTAGCATAGCCACCTCCGCGCCCTCGTCGTGGAGGCCGCTCTCCTATCTTACATTAACATGCTAATTTCTCACATTAACATCACTAGCCCCGCCCACTTTGTTTATGACCCTTGGGCTACACCCATTTTAACCCTTTAAAACAGTCTGCCTAAGCAGCTTAGTTCATTCACCTCATAATTTCTGTCAGAATACTTAGGTAGGGCACCTCAAATCCAGACAGCCAAAATCATCAATATTGTCCCACGCTACTTTATCTTGCTCAAGCCTAGCGCAGTTCTGAGGGATTAAATGTGTAAGTACAGTACAGTCAATAAGTAACACGCAGTGAATCACTCTTTACAGAAGTATTGTTAGGCAGGCATCGTCTTATGGGACAGCCCTTGACATTGTGATGTTTTGCTGAATGTGGGAGTTGCATAAGAACATTTTTGTTTCATAATGACACGAGTCTGAGAACGTGCAATTGATTAGTCTGTAATTCTTACAAAAGCAAACATTTTCTAAGCAATACACTGATAGATATATGCGGTTTTAGTATGTATTAAATTATTGCAAGTTAATTTCTTGATTTATATTGTGGTGTATCAGTGGCCCACTGGTGAGCACGCTGCATAATTAACCTGAGAACCTGAGTTTGATTTCTGGTCAAGGCTAATGTCAGTGGTTTGTGATATGAACCAGTGCTGGGCGCCGCCTTTGCCAACTGGAACTCACTCGTGTGGTGAAGTATGGTCAAAGAATCCACACAACAGACATGGCGTGGGGAAGCGGTCATCCAGCAGTGGACTGTTAAAGGCCTATACACATTGACATGTAGATGTAAAAATAATGTGAAACTGTAAATGTTGCACTGTATTGCTTAAAATGTGTGTGTAATGTTCAAATGAATCGACTTCAGTAGATGGCAGTCTGGCCACATGCTTGTGGCTACATGTGCTATTTAGAGCTGTGCAGGCTATGATGTTGATTTTAAAATACACAATATACAAAATGAGATGTTCACAAATTTATGCTGCATGAGATGAGAATTTTGCATAAAATTCAGTATAATCTTGGTACATATGTCATGTATTCCTGCATATAAGGAATATCGAGGAAATTATTAGAATAAAAGTATTGCTGTAAATGCATTATTTCGTTGTACCAATTATGCTCAAACAAGGGGTTGTGTTGGGAAATCATCATGAAATAACATAGTCATGATTCTTTTGCAAATGTAACAGTGGACATATAGTGCGCATTTTACACACCCACGTATAAACCAACACACATCTACCACACCCACCACACCACAGTCCATTTGGCACGTGGCACACATGCACACGTAGACTTCCGCACACAAGCACATGACAGTATATCCTGAGGACATTTTGCCCACTTTAACGCATACACATGTGCACACACACGTATACGTGCGCTCACCCGTATACGTCTTCTCACAAGCGCTCACATGGACAAGACAGATCCCTATTATAGCCTTAACAGACTTTTGGGGCAAGTGCTAATATCGATCACCAGTGAAGGCCGGAACGGCGCATGAGGGGGTGGTGTGGCAAGCACCATATTCGGCCCCACCTTTTGTCTCCCCAGTGCTGATATTTTACACACTGCACAATTTGGCTAGCCATCGAACAAACACGATCACTGCATTGTGCGCTTTCGGAAGCGCTTCTGCGGCCCTCTGGAACGAACTTCCTTCCGATATTAGGAAGCCACTTCGAGCTATGCACTTTTAAATCTAGATTTAAAACTAATTTCTTTAAAACTGCTTTTTGTGTTGAGTTTGTTGTCCATTCCCCACACCTTCGATTAGCACGGTTGGCTATGTACGGCGTGCAAGAAGTTAAACATACGTACATACAACGTACCGATTTAAGGCTTAGTTGACCTCGGTGGAGACCCACGATATTCACGCATTTTGGTTGTGAGCAGGAATCAAACTCGGATAGCTGTGTTTGTTGTGCAATGCGCTAATCACTACACTACCATTTCCCATACACACCCCTGTACACTTACACATGCATATCTCTCCCTCCATGTCTGCACACAGATATGTGGCGTGGAACCTGCATGAGCCGCAGCGGGGAGTGTTTGACTTCAGCGGGTCTCTGGATATTGGGTACTGTCACAGTGAATGCATTACCCAACTGCTACTCATTTATTTATGTGTTTAATGTTTATTATGCATTTATTCACTTTAGTATGCCACAGTAAAGGGCTGCCTCGTTCACATGTTCAAATCCCCAGTCGATGTGCTCCTCTCTTCTTTTGGAGCATTTTTTGTAGCTTAACCTGCCTGGGTAGAGAACATAGCAAATATGAACATTAAAGGAAAAGTATAAAAGAATACGAACATTTATAAAGCATGGAGATGCAATCACAGTAGACTATGATGATCCCATGGTGCATATAACGCGTCTGATTTTAAATGTTGATAAGATTGTTAGAAATTTGCTTTATAGCTATCTACCCACATATCCACCTACCCAACTGGTTACCTCCCTATCCACAGCCACATTTTTAACTATAAAGCTATGCAAAGAAAACCACTCGTGAATGTGTATACACAATGCTAATTGAGTCATTGAAAGGTTTAAATGTGTGCAGTATATGTCTATGATGTGAAATGGGTCAAATGTTGGCTGCTTTGGAAAAATGTATGAATTTATAATGCCTAGACTTATGAATTCATTATCTTGAAACCTTTGCACGTTTACCTCACACTTTGTGCTGCAGGACGTAGCCTGCTGTGTACAAATACATCACACTCGGGGAGGATTATCCATTAGAAGTTCGAGTCAAAAGAACAGGGAATGTGGGTGTTAAAGTCTACACACTACCCATAGTGATGTGCAACAAACTATGCTTGACTAAGCTCCGTGCTGTGTTGAAGTGTATTCATCTCACCGCGACTTATTTTGTCTAGAGTAGACGGCTGTCTGTTGGTTGCACTCAGATGAACTAAAACGTACAGCTTCAATTGAATCTAGTGTGTATTTTTTCACTAAGTTCATGTTCTAAACTAACCCCGATAACTTGTTTATTTAATGTGAATGGTTTTCACAGCCAATACAATTCATCTGCATCTGCTAAATTTGGCTGTTACGATTCTTCAACTCATCAGTGAGCTGAAATTATAATAATTGGCGCGTAACACGCTTGCACACATGACAATTCATGTGACTGAGTCCGGTGGTGATGGGGCTTCATGACGCAGATTTGGTCATGCCACTAAATGGTCTAACCCAAAAATCGATCTTTCTATTTCCTAAAAAGAAACTGTATTTTTTGTACAAGCTCAACATTCCTTGTTTTCAATTCCACGAGTTTAATTCCATCAGCCACCCAGTAATTATTCTGGTGCTTCATACATGTCTGCTATAGCTGTTAAGTGGATGTTAAAGACCCTGTGATATTCTTCACAGAAGTAAGCTTGTGTGTGCTCTTGAGATAAAGCACATCTGAAATGTTATATTTCCTTCAAGTAAAAATACATTACTCTCACAATTAGGTAGCGTGTTTTACAAGTTATAGTTGCTCTTTGCATGTTTGATTAAACACTCGTCAATGTTTGTAAATGTTTTAAGGGCATTTATTCAGCTGGCTAAAGAGTTGGACTTGCATGTGATCCTGAGGCCTGGACCGTACATCTGCGCCGAGTGGGATCTGGGAGGTTTGCCAAGGTAATTCACATATCAGCCGCACACACACACTCACACCCCGTTGTTTAGCTTGACAGACTGTTGAGGCAAGTGCTAAGAGTAAATATCCATTCAGATCCGTGAGGTAAGTCCTCACTTCACGCGTGTTCACACAACGCGCTTTCGCTATCACGTGTTCCTTCCGTTTGGGGAACACTTTTCGCACAACGCACCTGTTATAATGCAGATCACGCACTGTTGTAACGCGGTTTCTGAGCAGTCGACAACGAACTGCTTTCTTGAGCTGCGCGACTGAGCGGTATGTTACAGTATGCGGAATGATACAGTAACACGGCGGTGTACCCTCACTTGTGCCAACATCTTACTGTGTGGGCGTACATCGTATCTCGCCCAACTTGATTGTTACATTAATTATGGGGAAATTGTTTTCGCTCAACACGTTTTTCGCTTCACGCAGCACGTTTCAGGAACGCATCTACCACGTTAAATGAGGACTTCCTGTACAATACATGTAGAATAGTGTGGCTAGTGCTGATTTTAATGTATCACACCTCCTATCTGTTTAGGCGGTCAACCAAGGGTATTTCCAATCCAGGCTTGGAAGACACAAACTCAGGCACAAATTGTACCGTGCATAGATTGTTTGTGTATGTGCTAACATCAAGCACATATTCAAACCAGCGCAGCACCTGACGATATCATGTAATGATCGTTGCGTTTAGCGTAAGCGTTGGACATTCCAGATTTCTATATCGGGGACAGACAGCTCAAAAGACAACCAAAGTTGACTTTCCACAGAGTGGGATTTATCTTCTTGGTTCTTTCGGTAAAGTCACGTAGAAGGGAAATAATAAAATAATAAAAATAAAACATAATAAAATACAATTCTCACGACGTTTCGGCCACAACGCAAGCAGCCGTCCTCAGGTGAAGAACAGGTCTGTCGGAAAGACAGACGCTGTCTTTCCGACAGACCTGTTTAATTTTTATAATTTTATTATTTCCCTTCTACGTGACTTTACCGAAAGAACCAAGAAGATGAATCCCTGCAGTCACGAAAGCTTTAAATCGAGAGTGGGATTTAGTTTTATATTGGTGGAGGGCTGAACAGCCAAATTGGCTTCTGACTGGGATGTGGGAATTTGAACTCGCATCCTTCCAATTTACACACTTACAAAGCTAAACTGGTTTTCAGGCAGTGGTTTGAAAGAACAGTGATGGTTACTAATTTAACACCGATATATTTGTTTCTTCTTTGTTGTGTTACAGCTGGCTTCTGGCAGACCCAGATATGAAATTACGGACAACTTATTCAGGATTTATAGATGCAGTCGATAACTTTTTTGAGAAGCTCATGCCAAGTGTGGCTCCTCTACAAGTGAGTGATGTTTGTAAACTGCTTAACAGTAACACTATAAATCCTGCGTTTCAATTATGCTTTGTTTTTGAAAGGGCGTCTTTCATGCTGGGGCATCTCAGAACTGCAATAAGTGACTTATGTCACTTTTCATCTAAAAAATGTTGAAAGCACACCACCAATGGCAGTTGTCCCTGTGTGGCACAAGGTGTCTTTGGCACCTGGTCTGCAAGCGGGCATCAATCTGCCCGGATGGGGCGATGATTGCTGCTGTGTGTTATTCCGATTGAATTATTTTAAATAAATGCACTTCATCATCTTTTCGGCTGTGTTTAGATTTGGGGGAGTGGTAGTGTCGCGGTTAGCACGCTGCGCTACAAACCTGGCGACCCGAGTTCGATTCCCGCTCATGGTCTACACCAGTGACGATTATCTGATCAAGTCCTGGTTCTCACCTAGGTCGACTCAGCCTCAAATGAGTACCTGGTGCGGTGTGTAAAAACATCGCCAATGGGAAGACAAAGGCGGTCGGGCGTGGTGTTGGCCACACACCCCCTTGTGTGCCGTGCCGGCCTTCATAGGTGATGGCGAACAGCATTTGCCCCAACGCTGTTAAGGCTATTCAGGGGGATCTTTGCCTTTGTTTAAGTTAGAATTGTGGAGCATGTGCATTGGTTGGAAATGTTTTTAGAAGATTAAAATTCTGGCAAGAGTTATATTACTTGCGATGATTATTTTTAATACAGTGGATAGTCATAATAATTAGATTGTTATTTAAACTGAAGACAATTTTTTCAGTAGGTACTTGTACCATTATTATTAAATGCAAGAACCATTGGAAAACGTCATTGAAGAGCCTGCAAACTTGGGCCTGGGAATTAATGTGAGCAAAACCCAGGTCATGTCCAGACGTACGCTCAACAATTAAGAGATGTCTGACAGGGACACAATTGGAACCTCGGATAGCGTTTGATTGTGAGCCAAATTAAACCATTGAAATAAAGAGGATGAGATAATGCATTCATAAGTGTGCACATAATGGTCTCCTGTTTCAAGTATTGTTTCATGTATTACTTTACAGCATGATGAAATTTTTGATCGTGCAGAACAACTTTTATGGTCTCTCCTGCAAGCATGCCAAATATTAGACTGCTTAGCTATGTTTATCCACTCTCTCCTTGCATGTTTATATAAGCAGTTCATATCGTTTAGATGGCTAGTTTACATGCACGTGTATCCGTAACCTAATGGTGTTTTGTTCTTCTTTAATGTTTGCAGTACACTTACGGTGGCCCCATCATTGCAGTGCAAGTGGAGAATGAGTATGGAGCTTATGCCAAGGACACTGGCTACATGGAATCCGTAAAGCAGGTAAACAGCCACAGCAAATATGCAGCCATGGCGGCTGCTGATAAAGTGACAGCCAATGTGGGTATCAAGATGCACAACGACACTAACAGCAATGAGTGCAGCAGCAGCAGATGTTAAAGATGTTTGTTAAAATATTTTTTTTTTTATTAAATCTACTCATAACTGGACACAACAAAAACAATCTCACAAAACCAATTTGCCATACACAGCAACATCTACAGCAATAATCTTAGCATGTTCAGTATTCGGCCTAAGGTAGGGAACTGCCTTGATGTAATGGTTAGCACACTGGCACTTGCCGTACAGAAGTTGCCAGTTGGTTTCCATCTCCCTGCGTGGCAATTATTTTAAAAATGGTGCATTCATTTCCTAAAATTCTACTTTTGTATTCTGTATTTAACCAGGGAATTAAATAACCCCATTGAGATCATGAAACATTTCCTCTTTTGCAAGGGTTACCTGGAATATGTTACTGGTTACCAGTTACCTTTAACTACCCTAATACTAACCACATGTGTCCCAACTTTATGGGCTGTTTTGTGAATGTGTTTGCAGGTTTTGCTGAAACATGGGATCATCGAGTTCCTGATGACATCGGACAACAAAGATGGGCTAAGCCAAGGAGCACTGGATGGAGGTACTTATATATCTACACCTACATATACGTTGTTGTAACTGTTCACGTACATTTATTTATTGATTTATTTATTCCACTAGTTGGCACTGGCAGGATTCGGAACTCCCAGGTCGGGTTCAGGGCTGCCAATGAAGTTGAGCTCCATCCCACAAGACAATGCTGACTTACGTAACGTACAGATATTAATATGCTCGAGATGCTGGTATAAAGAATCATCGTACAATTCCATAGACCTTCTTCTTGGTTCTTTCGGTAAAGTTACGTAGAATGGAAATAATAAAATAATAAAAATAAAACATAATAAAATAATTCTCACGACGTTTCGGCCACAACGCAAGCAGCCGTCCTCAGGTGAAGAACAGGTCTGTCGAGACGACAGAGTCTGAATGACACACTCCAGGCTTGGAGCGACTATTTAAGCTGGGATGGAGGGGGGAAGGGCGCCTTGACAATAATTTGCATATCAAGAGGAATTTAGCATATTTATGGGAAATGCAGATATGCGATTAGTACTGCTTGTGAAATGCGTAGGAGGTTTGGCGGGGGGTTTAAAGTCATTATGCCCGTGCATTATGCAGGATTAGTAGCATCAAAGGGAGGGGATAGGGGTAACATTAATAAAGGGAAGGGATGTTAATAGTATGTAGCTGCAGTAATTAAACCACCACGTAAACAACTAAAGAATAAACTACATAGTATCATCAGTATACTAAATATACTTTCCAATAAGCTGAGCTACTAACAGTAAGTAATACATTACAATTCTATGTCGCAAAAAATATAATATGCTTGCTTCCAGCAAGAAGATGAATCCCTGCAGTCACGAAAGCTTTAAATCGAAATTCCATAGACCTGTTAGTAAATACAGTACATCCTTTGGTAAATAAATTCGTCTGGCACAACGGGATATGCTTCTGTAATTGCCATATGTTAATTTAGAACATGTACGTTTATTCTAACACAATTGGCAAACACTGGAGAGGCAAACTGAGTCGCCCTCTTTGGGCAGTGGGTTCTGTATCATTTGGGTTGGTTGTGATTGTGTGTGGCTCAGCTGGTACACGAAATGCGATCTTTGCTGGAACATGTATTGTCAAATACCGCCAGCCAGGATGACTATTTTCTTTTGCATTTATATGGAACACATTGATGCAGGTGTGGTTATTAAATGCTAGAATTGTAAAAAGTCAGTGCCCGAATGCTCAAGTAAGTAATTTTGGAATTAATCATGCTTTTTACTCAAAACGTTTAACACAGGGTTCATTATAAATGCATCATCAGTCATTTTCAATGTGCCATATGTTATTTTCCTATAAATACCTGCAGTATTCGCATCTGGTAGGGGGGTGCTACATTTGTTATGAGTTAGAGAGTGGTGGCTTTGCCAATCATTAATGTAAATGTGAATCAATTCAGTGGCATGTGCCCAAATTTCGCCATTATATATACACACACACAGTCACAACAACAAAAACTTTTGATAACTGTGTTTCAGCTCTGTCAACTATGAATTTCAAGCATTTTCAAAGGAGCTACTTTGAGCATCTTGATTCAGTTCAGGTTGGTATCGTCCTCGAAGTTTGTCAATTAACAAACAATATTTTGTTTATTCTGTTATTGGTTATCATCAAATAACATCTTGTATAATTTCCCGATAGACCCACACATTTGTAATACTCTTACCGCATCTGTATGCAGCTCTGTAAAACTTCATTTATGCCACATCTGTTTTGATGTACCATGCTCAATTTGATCCCTTCAGCATGTTCTCTCTTTTGGCCACTGATCTGTCAATACCTTTGACCATTTTGACCTTTTTTACTGAGCAGTATAAATACAATTTAATGCAAAGAGTGTCTGGGATGTCTGGTATTTTGATGCGTTGTTTTACATTTTGTACATTTGTTTTCATGTGCAGCATTCCAGTGAAATGTTTTTGTCGCTTATAACTCCAGTTCTACCGTATTTTCTTTGTTGATCACCTTGCGTGTTGTTTAGAAACATGTTTTACCTGTACTTTCCATCATCATCATCATGTACTTTAAATCATCAATAAGCAAATACTATTATAATTGAGGAAAAAATATACAGGACTATCGTCATTTTGGGGAATGGCCCTTCTACATCGTCCATGCAAAGGACTGACAGAATCATACAGGTGTGTGTTTGGGGAGTGGTTAGTGTAGTGGTACAGGTAGGAACAACAGTTCCACACTGCCCACCAGGGTTTATTTGTCTGTCGTGCATAGCCCCTCCCAAACATGTACGCTGCCGGATTGGTTGAAGTGCGTCACGTGACCGCGAGCTTTCTGTCGCGCACGAATGCGCTGTCCAACCAAGTTCCTACCTGCCCACTCCGAAGGAACGTGTTTAACTCATTGTGGCAAAGCTGGCAATCTGAGTTCAATTCCTGCACGCAGCCAACAGATGTGATGAACATCTGCACGTCTGGGCCTCTGATAGGTGAGGTCAGCATTGGTGGGCAGGCATGGTGCTGGCCAACCCCATCCTTATTGTGTGCAATGTTGACCTTAATGTGTGCTCGCTAACAGCACTTTGCTCCAACAGTCTGTATGGCTACACGGGGGATCTATGTATTTGGCTTTGTGCATTTGTCTTTGTGCATTTTATGAATGCAGCCAAACCTTCCTAAAATGGTCATGGAGTTCTGGACGGGATGGTTTGACAGCTGGGGGAACTACCACATGGTGTTCAATGCTGACGGTATATATATATATTTAATATATACATTGTGTTTGCAAACATGTGCACGTGTGCTGCGTACGATATTCATTTGCATCACTGTACAGTATTGGCCTTTATATATGGATTTGCTTTGCAAACATTAAGTCTGACAACACATGAAGGGGCTCTTACATCAGGACCATATCCATCATGTTCCAATTGATCATTTTATGCTCAGTCAACCTAAGGGACACGCAACCCAAAATCAGATACCAATTTCTACTGGTGAACTTATCGGTGGAATTAAATCCACGTTGCTTTACGTCGGTGCAGTGTATAGACATTCATACCATAGGTTCATACATGTGTACATACTGTGGGTATGAATTGCTTGCAACTTACATTTGTCAATAAAAAGTTATATTATCCTTCCATTTTTATTATTATATGCAGTCTTCGGTATGTAATGATGCACCAATTAATCAACAAAAATTAGTTCTTGTGCTCATGATGCAAACATTGAATTGTTGATGTGAGAGTTGATCATTTTAGATGTATGGACGTTATATACAAACAATATGCTCATGTTACATTCAAGTTAGTGTAGTGAAGAATATTACAAGTAAGACAAACATAAAAAACTATGAGGCGGTAATAAGGAAACAGTAATGATTCTTCATTCTGACAGTTCATCAAATCGCAGTGTAAAGGGGTTAGTGTTGTGTCATACCTAGTATATAGCATTGGGCTGTAGACTTATTACGAAAAAAATGCATTCATTTTTTAATAACCAATATACTAGGAAAACACATTTATAACTTATTTGAAAAAATTACTACAGCATTGCACTTTGACATATTTATTTTGGAAACTTTTCAGAAACATCCATGGAGATCATTTGGCTGCTATACATTTCCACATGATAAGCCTCTTCGTTGAGCTGTCAATTGTAACGAGGTCACTTCTGAAAAATAACGAATAGCTAAGTGGGCTTTACCTAGTTAATAAAAACTGTTTAGTTTAATTAATTTTAGTGATTTGCTTTGTTTTGTTGTAACTTTCTGACCTGCCCCTACTGGACATCTGTAAAAAAAATGAGCTTCATAACTCATTGGATTTCTCCAAGATAAATTAAGATTCTTGATTCTGAATACTGTGTGTGCTGATTCTAACTTCAACATCATCACAACACCAATATCCTGGTATTGTCACTACACAAGAAATCACTGCCATCTTGTTAATATGTTCATGCTTGTCCTATTGCAGCACTGATTGACAACATGAAGAAGATACTGGACCAGAAAGCATCCATCAACCTCTACATGTTTCATGGAGGAACAAACTTTGGATTCATGAATGGGGCTTTGGAGTTGCCATCATATCAACCAGATATCACCAGTTATGGTGAGCGATGAATCTCATCGTTACATCACTTCCACCATCATTGTCATCTTGCTCATTATCATACTCAACATTCGCATCATTACTACCACCAATATCGTCATCATAATTGTCATCATCATCCCCACAACCATTATGATCAGTACCACCACAATAATTATAGTAATGAATATCAATGACTCCACCATAACCATTGTAATAAAAGGACTCAGACACTTCTTTCTGTCTTCGTGTCCTTTATTTGGGGTTCGCGTTCTCCTTCCCACACGGCACTCCTCCTGAGACTCTCTCCCTGGCAGCCCCACATCTGCCTTCGCTCCCGTAGCCTTCCACGCTCCTGCAGCTCCGCTGCAGGCTCTTGGTACAGCCCTCTGGCTGCTCCCCCAGCAGCTCCATCGCTGCTCCCTGTTCCTCCGTGCGTGGCGATCTCGCCACCTCCCAACGTCAGCCCTTCGTGGCCTTTATGGCTATCTCGCCATCTCCTACCACAATCCTCCACTCTCTCTTCCACCCCGCTGGCTGGCGCCGTCATGAGCCCCTCAGCCACCAGGCTGAGGCACGGCGACCACCCAACGTCTTCACCACCCTTCACTCCCCCGACTGCCCCAGATAGCTTCCTGTCTCCCCGCTATAACTTCTCCCCCACGTCACCCTGACTCCTCCCTCTCGGATCGTCATATCCGCCCCGCCCATTTACGCCCGCATTACACTACCCTCCCCCGTAGAGAAAATCCCAGCCGTCCTCGGCTGAAACAGAACAAAATAATGCGGGCGAAGGCATCACAATCAGGAGTCCCCCAGACACAACGGAGATTATAACAACAACAACACAAGCAACGAAAGGGGAGGTATCAGGAACTGGAACAGAACACCGGCCTGTCCTCCGCGCAACAACAACAAGAATAAGAATGGCACAATGAACAACAACGGCAACTGACACGCAAGAACGGCCAACGCGCACAACCCAGAATGTGATGTTTTAGTGCGTGTCCATGTTGCAGTTCCATCCGCTCGGCTCAAGTCCAACGTCAAAGAGCAAGTGGTAGAGCAGAATGACGAACGGCGCTCAATTGCTCCTTCAAGTCCTCATCCAGCTAGCACACCAGGTAACACCCAGTGCGACGGGAGCTGAAGAATCTGTGACGAGAAGGAGAATCCAATCCCCTGAGGCACAGCACAACAACGCACATCCGCATGTCGTACACGACAGCCACCCGGCCTCAGGGTAGTGGAGATGATGTAAATCCAGCCCGCTTAAAAAAAAACTCCCCATAAATACCCAAAATAACGCAATGGATGCCCCAGTATTTACATTTTAACAACAATATTATTTACACGTGACAACAACAACAACAAAATTTCCTGCTCTTACCCACCAGCAGTCCTCCCTTGAGGACCAGCAGACATCGCACGTACACAGCATGTACCCACGGTCACTCTCAGCAACCCAACAAAACGCCTAATCGCACACCCTCGCGTGGAGAGAGCCACGCTCCCCAGCGGTAACGTTTAACTCGCCCTAACCCCCACCGTGGTCGTCAACCCACAGCAACATCCACTGACCATACTCTCAGCTAGTGCAATTTCGGGGATGAGCAGCAACTCGGCCACGCTCCTCCCTTACTATCCCATCAGAGATGGACACACACCAGCCTCGTATAGTCCGATGCTTTATAGCCCAGGGAAGGTTCATCCCCCGGCAATGCCAGACCCCCTGTACTCCCCCCACGGGGCAATGTTCTCTTATAGAGACAATAACACCCTAACCCAGATCCCGTGAGCCCCCGGCACACCAGGTTCAGTCTGCCACCGCACAACTGAACCATGACTCCCCGAGCCATATGAGCACATGGCCCATTAGTTTAAGACATACCACGGAGGTTTCGCCTCCGGGCTGTCAGGTCAGCCATCAGCCATAGGCCGATGTGACCACAACTCGTGCATCACCCAATCAACAATGGCAGGCATAACAGATGGAATATTTGCCCCACCGCGGTTTTTCCCGCGCGCTCAAAATGGCGGCCCCCTTTGCCCAGCGCGTTCGCGCAATATCTCGCGCGCACTCAAAATGGCGGCCCTTTCCGCAAAGCGCATCGTCGCCATACCCCGCGTGCGCGCAAAATGGCGGCCCAACGTGCGAACACGTGGCCAGTTTTCTCCATTCGTGCACCCCAGCTTCCCTTAGCTGGGGGTCACAAGACGCATCCCCCGTCACGTTATAACAACCCCACCAACGATAGACGCACAGCCCCAGCTTGCTGCGCACAGCTGTCATATCGTGGAATTTTTAACCAATATTTTACCAACCACATTGGTTACACAACCCAACTCGCCAAGCAACTCGTGGCTGCATGCAATCAACCAATACACGACGCCACTTGGCGCCCATTTACGATCCCATTAGCATTAACATCTAAGCCACCCACAACGGCGTCATCGCGCCCCCCCATTTTCAAAAAGCTCAATTACCCCTATAATATACACGCAATGTCGTGTGCACAACACCCATACAACCAAATTTTTGGGTCCCCCTCTATAATATACACGCAATCTCGTGTGCACAACACCCATACAACCAAATTTTTAGGGTCCCCCTCTATAATATACACGCAATCTCGTGTGCACAACAACCATACAACCAAATATTTGGGTCCCCCTCGAATTTGTTACCAATTTCCAACAAGTACGCACAATATAATAACAATCTCAATTCCAATAGTCAACCACTGCATCGCACCCCATAACCATACAGAACGGTATAACGGCACATGCAATCAGCATATCGCGATCACACGCGTACATTTAAGCACAATAGCAAGCAGATCTGCAGGCAACCAACACACCATTAATCCTGTCGTAACTTTGCAGCAACAACACAATTATTCTCTCTCTTGCAACAATCGCATCGCACACAGCACCTCGCAGCACAATACACCAAAAAAATATATATTTTTTCAATTAAGCCCATCGCACAAGGCAACCCACGAGATAATACAGCGCAAGATACCCGACGCTCCCAAGTTAATAATTAACTTCACCATCAAGATAACAACTCCACGCAGCAGCGCACACACACAATTTGACACTCAGCAAATACAGCAGACTCTCCGTCCATTCTCAACACACGCACACACTTATTGACACCAAGCAACAAGCAGATAGCGCGTTCATCGTTATTACACACACATACACACAGTCCGAACCGCGCTCCGCACAATCGAGTCATAAGAGAAACCCAAAATAGCCCCCCGGCCCTCGAAAGATGAGTGAGGTGTGTGTTAAGGCCGGGTGCGTATCGTTATGACTCGCCCGGGGCTGCAGCAAGAAGAGGACGGCAGGGTGGCAACTTGAGACGCCTCGCAGAACTCGTTCGGCGACTTGACGGCTCCGTTGTCACGCACCCGAGCCAGGACGGGAAGCTCCCGCCCCAGCAGCTGCAGCATCGGCGTCTTCTCCTCGCAGCACCCCCTCGAAAAACAGCAGCTCACAGCAGGCTGCTCACCCCGTGGCACCTCCAGATGGCAGCGCAAGGCTGCCTCTCCGCCGCGATGTTGAAGATGGCGGCGTCCTCCCGCCGCGGTGAAGACAAGATGGCGGCTTCCCGCCGTTTCTCCCCTGCCACGCCCAAGATGGCGTCTTCGTGCCACGTGGCAATGGCGCTGGCAGCGCAGGAAAGGCAGAGGCCTGCGGATCACCACCGGGCCTCCCCGACGTCGTCCTCGGCGTGGTGAACTCACACAGTCGCGCCAGCACGATTTTCAAGGTCCCCATCTGCATCACCATCTGTCTCCATCGTAAGTTGGCATCCTCCGGCACAGACAGGTCCACCGACGCGGCGACACCTTGCTCACCCGGACCCGTACTCGTTCCAGAACGGATCTCCTCTTCCATCGCAGGCAGGTCCACTGTCTGAGGAAGGTCGTCGTCGTCGGATGATGTAGCAGGAATATTTTTTTTTTTCTTCTTTCTCTCAGTTGTTTTGAGATGCCGTTTCACTTCTGACTCCAGTGTAATAAAAGGACTCAGACACTTCTTTCTGTCTTCGTGTCCTTTATTTGGGGTTCGCGTTCTCCTTCCCACACGGCACTCCTCCTGAGACTCTCTCCCTGGCAGCCCCACATCTGCCTTCGCTCCCGTAGCCTTCCACGCTCCTGCAGCTCCGCTGCAGGCTCTTGGTACAGCCCTCTGGCTGCTCCCCCAGCAGCTCCATCGCTGCTCCCTGTTCCTCCGTGCGTGGCGATCTCGCCACCTCCCAACGTCAGCCCTTCGTGGCCTTTATGGCTATCTCGCCATCTCCTACCTCAATCCTCCACTCTCTCTTCCACCCCGCTGGCTGGCGCCGTCATGAGCCCCTTAGCCACCAGGCTGAGGCACGGCGACCACCCAACGTCTTCACCACCCTTCACTCCCCCGACTGCCCCAGATAGCTTCCTGTCTCCCCGCTATAACTTCTCCCCCACGTCACCCTGACTCCTCCCTCTCGGATCGTCATATCCGCCCCGCCCATTTACGCCCGCATTACACCATGAACATGAACATCCCAAATATAAACATTATTCACATCATCGCAACCATCATCATCATTATAAATATACATCCCATTTGCTGTTGGCTGTGCACATCTGCTGAATAAGTGATTTTAAAATGTTTTGGTTGGAGAGCTGCAAAGATACAAAGATAAGGTACAAAAGAGTAGGTACATTGACTGAATCTAACAGCATTTTGTGGAGTCATGAATCACGAGACCATTGCCCCAGTACAGACATGTAAGCTGGTTTTGCTACACACAGGCACATTTCCCCCCCCCCCCCCCATACATATTCAGGATATTTGCGTTGCTGCCTCCATAATCTTATGTGAGCATTATCCCTCTGAGCCACCCACCCGTCAACATTGCATTTTTTTTAAAAATACAATACAATATGTTTTTACAAAGCCGTCTAAAGACATTGCAGTGTAGTGTGCGATGCGCACTGGGGAAAAAGTGACCTCATTTGAGGGTGGAGATACATGGGAATGTATGGGGCTCTGGGAAAGAGGGATTGATGATTGAATTAAGGACTTATTGATGAGCATACAGCTTAGGCGGAGGAGAAGAGAAAGACGGTCTTAAGTCTGAACTTGGATCAGGGAGATAGAGTTAGCAGTGGAGAAATCAAGGGGTAGGAATTCCAGACAGCAAGAGCAGCAGAGAGGGAGAGACCTTTCATCGAGCTGAGGTTAACTGAGGATTTTGGCAGGATGTCATTAGGCCACAAGCCCAGACCAAATATTTCACGTGTCAGTACCACCCACCTGAGGTGGCGTCACATTAGTGGCCAACAACAGTGCGATAACCGTTTCAAATTTATGAGTTATCAAATAACATGCTCCTAGCAGTGGCAAAATGAATTGGCACAACTGATCTTTTGCTGCCAAAGAGGTCTTACCACTCTGCTCCGGCCCATTGACTATTGGCAGCTGCTGGAGAGCTTGTCGGGGAAAGTAGAGTGATGGAGGATGGAGGCAAAGGTGATGGAGGCAGGAGATAATCCATGGAAGACCTTCAAAATATGTTGATGGTCATCATGTAATTGATCCAGTTTGAATTGGGAACCAGAAGAGAGATTTGAAGAGTGGATTCCTTCTCTGAACTTGTGACATCTTTATCAAAAGTTGCCCATTGCGTGCTAGTGGCATTGCACAATTCACAAATTTGGAAAGGGCCTGCAATTTGGGTAAAGACATAATAATATATCTACGGTTACTTTGTCCATTATGCAAAAGGCAAGTGGAGTCTCAATGGGCCCTCGCCCAGTTACATTTTGATTGATGAGCCGTTCTTGACAACCAACATTGGCCAAATTGTATTTAAGCTATAAAAGGGTCCTCGTTAAACCAACTAATCAGATGTGCTGAATAAGCTCATAAAAAAATCCATTTGCCTGTTTTTTGGGGAGGCCTTTCATTTATCAATTTTATGTGTGGTCCACAAGATTGTCTTTTAGTGATTATTTTGTTTTACAACATTAATACCTCTGCTCAGACATTACCGTGGAAATCAAAGGAGCGCCCATCCATGCTAAAAAAATTATTGTGCAGCACAAGCTATCACCATAGATGTAACACATTCACTGCACTGCTCCACACGGTTGATTTTCAACTCATCCCATTCTATTACCACGCAGTGTGGTGCTTTATACATCTTAAGGAACAAATGTCTGCATTCTGTATGCAACCTTTGTTTAAAGAGGATTACTGGGACATAATTTATCTGTAGATATATGATGCACACATGGTTTGTATGAGCTTATCGGCTTGTGTGTAGAGCCATGCCGGTGTGTATGTGTAGTGTATGCGAGCAGCGTTGTTTAGTGTTGAGTGCACTGCGCTACGAACCCAGTGACCCAAGTTCGATTGCTGGCCATGGCTCACATCAGTGGTGAATATCTGCACCTCTGCTATGTCGACTCAGCATTAAATGAGTACCTGGTGCGGTGTGTAAACAGCACCGGGGAGGCAAATGCGGCATGGCGCGGTGCTGGTTTTCATCAATACTCACGAACAGCACTTACTCCAACATCCTGTGTAGGCTGCAAAGGGGATCTTTGTCTTTGTCATGGTGGTGTAGGGTTGGTACAGTCTGGTAAGCCTGGCTTTCCAGGTTTCTGGCCATGATGCATTACAGCAGTGCCAACTGGTATTTGAATTTGGCCTGGGCCCCTTCTAAGTTAACTGGACAGAAAATAACTATTGGTGCAACTGGCCGTGTTTGTGTGTTTGCAGTCGCATATTTGTTATCCCACTGCGCTGCAAACTCCATGTCCTAAGATCGATTCGCAGTCACGGCTCACATCAGTGGTGATTATTTGAACCGGTCGTAAGCCTCCCCTAGGTATACTCAGCCTTAATTGACTAAACTTCATGCGATGTGTAAACGTCAGCACTGGCGGAGACAAATTACTGGGTGGGGCATTGGCTACACCACCCCCTCATGTGCCATGCCTGCCTTCATAGATGCTCGCTTACAGCACTTGTCCTAACTGTGTATGGCTATAGGGGGGTCTAAATCTTTGCCGTTACCGTCACTTTGTGGAAAATGGCAGCCGTTGTATGGGAACCAGTGATATGGAATGGTTTTCACACTCAGCTGCAGTGTGTCTGTTATTGTTTTCAATCCATGACTGCAAAATATCTGAGGCGGGTTACATCTGCCTCTTTGCTGGACTTCCTTTCATTCAATTCAGCCTTGCATTATTACCCGGAGCAGTGTGTGAGCATCACCACTGGAGAGACAAAGCTGCCAAGGTGTGGTCCGAGCCACTTGAACTCCAGGTGTGCTGTGCTGCCCGAATTCGGCGCTCGCTAACCGCACTTGCTTTAACGGTCTGCAATATTAAATGGGGCATCTATTTAGTGGGTGCACTTGTGTAATGATCCCTGAATTCGCTGGTTGAAACATGTGCAGTGGTTTTTTTCCATACTTTCCTTACACGGTAAAACAGGAAAAAGCAGCATGTTTAGTTCCTTATTATTTCCACAAACTATTTTCACGGAGAAGTGCAAACACTTGCCAGAGCGTAAATCATGACATTGGGCACATACAGTACTTGTCATTTGAAAAACGTACGAGAAAGACGCGTGCACGATTATTGTTTTTTAAATGCTTTATTTATTATAGTTTAAAGAGAGATATTGTTACTGTTATTTAGATCTGTAGTTCAGACTAGGATAGAATTTGATAATACACTGCAGAGGAAAGGCTGTCTCTCTAACAAAATAATGTCAATCTGCTGAGAGAGATAGAAAAAAACCTGTTTTACTCAGAATTCAATACTGAATTCAGAATAACCTTGATGAAACCAGAGGTGACTGGGTGTCTTAGATGGCTAATTCCATCTCAGATCATTGAGGTGGCCCTGTTACATTTATGATTAGATCGCAGGCATCTGCCCAAGACAAAACTGATGCTTACACATGGCACCAGGTTCCTCCCTGTTACTCATTGAGATTAACCATGTCATGTGATTCAGATCCTTCACTTTAACTCGCTGAGATCCCATTGGCGTTCATTGTCTTGTGGTTGACAATTTATCCAGACAAGAGCCCACTGAGATACATTGTCTTGTGACCCACACGATCCCCATTGTAAATTGTACATTTTATTATTTCCAAAAATGTTCAAATTGCACCTTGCTTTGTGACTGCATCAAATTTTACGCAGTCGAATGCTTCTTAATAGTTAACAAAGGCCAGGCACAATGGTATTGTGAGTGCATTGTCTCATTCTATAATACATATAAAATCCCTCACAGAAGACGACAATAGAAATAAGAAATAAATATTGTCCCTTAAAATGTGGAATATTCCAGGCTCTTGTTTGCCATGACACTCTATTGCAGGGCATGTGGGAAGGTCGCAATTGAATGGTGTTTCGTAGGTGCACACTAGTCAAGTGACATGGTCCTCTATGTGCGGTTCTCTAGCAGAGTGATGCACTGCTCACTGCGAGCGTTCCACACTTGAACGTCTTCGTATAATGAGATGGTGTCCATAGCATCGCAATGTAACTGGGAGGGATAAAAGCCCCACAAACAAATACATTTTAAAATGTGCATGGAAACATTTAAAATGTTGGTTGATGCTCCCTTTGTGTTGTTCCCAATTTACGTAATTTCTCGTGAGGCCTTGTAGCCTGATTGCACACATTTTTTGTTTCTTTTCAATTGGCAGGTCAATAATTATATTGTTTGCTGCTTCTCTGAGGACGTAATGTCAATATTTGTTGTCTACCTCTGTTTAGTCCCGCTGAAATACTCAAACGTTTTTTTCCTATGTGAAGACTTGCTCCTACCCATGGAATGTATAATTTCCATCATTGGCTAGGATGTTTAACAGAGATTAGTACCACCTGAATGATTTGCATGAGCAGAAAAACACTTCAATTAATCTCACTGTATTCATAAATTTAACATGTGCCAATGTATTGAAATTGTCTGTTTGATATTCATTCTGTAAAATGCTCACGTTGTCAATATAGAGCATTCCAAATATCTCTTATGTTATGAAATACACATATCCTTTGACCCAAACTTCTTTTGTTTATTTCCTTAAAAACTATCACCAATTCTAACAAAAACATCAAACGAATGTAACGCAATGCCTTGTTCCATTTGCCATTGCAGATTACGATGCACCACTGTCAGAAGCTGGAGACTATACACCCAAGTACAAGAAGATAAGGCAACTACTGATGACTCAGTTCAGTAAGTGTAACTTTGTTTAGTTTCTCTATTTATATGACACGCCAGTGTGGTCTGCTACAGTTTTCATGAGACGAGGCATTGACCAGTGTGTATCATCTCATCAAATACCCAGAGGTGTATTTAGAAAGTGGGCCATTATGTTCTAGTGTCATGTTTGGAAATTGCCAAACATAAAACGAAAAATTACTGCAATAAATATGGGATGATTAAAATGTTTTTTTTTTAAGGAGAGGAAGGATAAGTGGTTAGCAAAGCAGAAATTATTAGCTGTTGATAATCTCCACAATACACTTGAAATGAAAATAATGTTAATGGCTAATATTTAAAGAAAATGTACATTCATGAATACACATGTAGTGAGTCCAACTGAGTCGCAAACGTTGTTCATTAGAGGCAACACTTTTATTGTAACATCAACTCACTAACACTAAGGGGTAACTGCCCCTTCACCAGATCCAGCCTAGGGTGGTGACCACCCAGCTAACGGCACTACACGTAGGAGTTACAGCTACGAAGGGTCGGACCCTCACTTGGGTCCCCGACCACGTGTTGATGCCTCGTAGGATTTAGAGCTTCCAGCTTGTAGACGTGGAGCTTCAGCTTGTAGACGTGGAGCTTCAGCTTGTAGACGTGGAGCTTCAGCTTGTAGACGTGGAGCTTCAGCTTGTAGACGTGGAGCTTCCAGCTCGTAGACGTGGAGCTTCAGTTTGTAGACGTGGAGCTTCAGCTTGTAGACGTGGAGCTTCAGCTTGTAGACGTGGAGCTTCCAGCTCGTAGACGTGGAGCTTCAGCTTGTAGACGTGGAGCTTCAGCTTGTAGACGTGGAGCTTCAGCTTGTAGACGTGGAGCTTCCAGCTTGTAGACGTGGAGCTTCAGCTTGTAGACGTGGAGCTTCCAGCTTGTAGACGTGGAGCTTCAGCTTGTAGACGTGGAGCTTCCAGCTTGTAGACGTGGAGCTTCAGCTTGTAGACGTGGAGCTTCCAGCTTGTAGACGTGGAGCTTCAGCTTGTAGACGTGGAGCTTCCAGCTCGTAGACGTGGAGCTTCAGCTTGTAGACGTAGAGCTTCAGCTTGTAGACGTGGAGCTTCAGCTTGTAGACGTGGAGCTTCAGCTTGTAGACGTGGAGCTTCCAGCTTGTAGACGTGGAGCTTCAGTTTGTAGACGTGGAGCTTCAGCTTGTAGACGTGGAGCTTCAGTTGGTAGAATGCAGCGACCCCGGTCCCTCTTAGGGACCCGCCTTATATCCCCCTCGGGTCGGTGCCGCTTTGCCCTTGGCCCCGCCCGCCTTCTCGAGCATTCTAGCTCCCTCTCCATCCCTGTCGAGAGCTCTCCCCGGACACGTGATCACCCCCGAGCCCCCCACCTGGGGGCCTCTCTGTTGACACTCCGGATCACGTGTCTACGGGGTCAACCAGAGTGCCATGGCCCGGGGCAACCCTGTCCCTGGGCTGACACTCTCCCGCTCTCCCTGGTGGGAGCCCGCACTATACACTATGCGTGGTGCCCGCGCTATCCCCGCGCTCACCAAGCCCCGCTAGGGCTGGTACTACACCCGCCCACGGGGTGTACGCAATGACATTACATCACACGCCACGGCCCTCTCAGGCCGGCACCATACATTGACATCCCTGATGTCACTACACACAGTTTAACAAATTGCATTTGGTGGGCTGTAGAGTTCCGTTAAACTTAAAACCACATGCAGTCCCTTAATGTCTGTGAAAAAAAAATATATATTTTAAATACTCCCATCATGCAGACTTTTAATTATTATTACACTCTAAAAGGAAAAAAATCGTGCTTATCCCATTATACACACGCAGATGGTTTCTTTGATCGTCAAGAAATGGGCTCGTTGTCCCACCCACCAGCATAAAATATGTTGGCAGTTCCCCGATTATGATCTGTCCATTGTGGAATTTCTTCCCAGCAAGCATTCAGTCCTATGAGACTTTACACACATTTAAAAAGCACTCAAACCCCATCTGCTTTATTGTGCTCATCCTGGATTAAGCTGATGTTGCACCACCATTCTCATTATTGGCTGTGTTCAGTGACAGGGCACTGGTACATGCAAGTTAGTAGCAATTTTACATCTGTCCTCCTTTGGTTACTTTGTTATTTGCATACGATTTCACTGGCGTGTTCAAATTCTGTACATGTGCATTATATTAGGACTCAAAAGCAGTATATGGCAGCTCGTGACGTGAAATTTGTTTGCGCAAAAAACCTGTTCTCTTTAGAATGGATAGAAACACAATTTGAAGTTTCACAGCAGTTTGGGGGTATTAGGAATACGAGACAGACCTTCATATGAAAATATTAGATATTCTGCAGCAGAACATTTTGACCCTATGCTTTTGTAACCAAAGTTTCAGCCCGAGTGCCTTGAAGTTGGCTGATAGAATATCCCTGCGGAGTGCCAACATCTGCTGTACATTTGTTGCTTGCAATGACTTTGCTGCGTTTCTGGAATCAGTGCTCTGTGAATACGGCATGCCTTTTGGGGAGATTGTACACAATTTACGTTCTTGCTCAATTCAAGAAATGTTTTATCTGTTGTCTATTGCACATTCAATAGTGCTGAGTATTTTTGTTGGCCACTTGGTGTTTTGTGCCATTGGTGCTGTGCTAATCAATCATGATTTGACATATATTTAAAAATAAAACATAACAGTTTATATGTCAGACAACTGAACTATATTTCGAGCTGACTATGGAAGGTTCCACCATCCTTAGAAGTTAGGGGTTAAGGGTAGATCCGTATAAGGCCATTTGTCTGGATGGTGCTGAGGCCTAGTGCACCAGGTTCAATTCAAGGTGGTACGAGTTCAACTCCCGGTCATGGGTCAGCTTGGCCCAACTTGCCTCTCGTGTTATAAAATGAATACAACTCGATTCACTTAGCATGTAGGTTTTCCCAACCATAATTAAGATTAATAATCGATGTACCCATATATGTTATCGTACATTAATTTGTATCGTTAACATGTAGTTTAAATTAGATGTATTGCTCTTACGATATCATGACACCTATTTAAGAAGCCGTTTCAGGTGACAATTACTCTGACTTGCTGGATTTACCGGATGATGCTTGACACATTTGCAAGCAAACCACCGTATCTAATTGCTAGATTTGTATGTGAGAACTTGGCTTAAACACTAATATTTGGCACGTTAAGCACTTGCACAAGAAAACAGTTTAATTCGTGCAGGGTGTTTTAACGCAAATTTGGCCAGATCGTTTCGTGGCCAAACCCAGCAATTAACTATAAATCGAGAGCGATTTTTTTCGCGTGGAAAGACTGGCCGACCACAATCGGAATTTAAATCTCCACTATTCGCTTAGAGCCACCAACAAAGACGAGCACCCCTGCATGCTAGTTTGAACATGGTAATACAGTACAGTAATTGACTTTTAAACATAAACTTCCTAACTGAATTACGTATCGTAACCAGTTTTCATTGACAGATTTGCATTCTCCAAAATATGTGTTCAAAGTATAGTTCGGCTCAATTATACACCATGTAGCTTGCTTACAATTATATTTTTGGGGTGTTGGAACGTAACTTCGTGACAGGTGGCTAATTTGGCCCCGATACCCAAATGCAATGGCATACTGTTGGAAAAACTGTCATGGGATCTTAAATGTCTTCAAGCAGATGTCAAAGCTGGCAAATGTAGCCCGGTTAAAAAAAAATCTGCCTCCGTTGCTGTGTTTGTCCCCATTGCTGCTAGTGGCAGTGGAGGGGAAAGGTTTGAAACCCTTGACAACTGTTGTGAGCGATTCGGAGAAGAGACTCGGCATCACAAGCAGCATCCCATGTGGTGCAAGAAACGCCATCAACCACAACCGTTCTCCACAATTTATGTTCATCGTCATCTCGAGGGAACGGCCCACGTTCTCACAAACCGTATACATCTTCAATTTCAAATGAATTGAGACTGATTGTCAGCATGCGCCTGTGGTAGGTGAGCATTGCAGAGTAGTGAAAATCTAATGGCCTCATAAAGTTTGTGACACACATGGTGAAATTTGGATCCTTGAGCATATGAGATGCTCTTTTAGCTGAACAAAAAGCATCATCGATGGAAAGTGTCAGTCTAATTATAAATTGACCTCCAAGTTCTTAATAGAGAGCCCTGCTTGCCCTTCGAGTAATCAACTTGGGCCCTATTGTTGGTTTAAAACCATCCTGATGAGTACAATATGTCTTTTTGAGACTGCTGTTGTTCGCACCTCGATGGAGGTAACGGAGGCTGCTGGCGCATCGCAAATGGAAACACGAACGCAATCGCAAATGGATTTTCTGATCATGGTCTTCATCATCATCATCATTCTATCGGCAGTGCTTCACTTGTAACCGGACGTTGTTGTTCACAGAACTGAAACTCATCGACCCTCCGCCACCTACACACAAGGCTGCCTACGGAATAGTCACCATGAATGAATACTTGCCTCTGTGGAGCTCCTTGGAGTTCGTTGGAAAGGTGGAACACACACAGTAGCAATCTGTGCAGAGCTTACATTCATTGAATATTATTAATGAAGCTGATGGACTACTCATTGCTGTGCCCGGAAGAATATTTTTTTTTGTCCAACATGTAAAAAAAAGAGTTGGGGTGATTTCTTGCTGAAATAGCCATTGAGGCAGTGTTCATCTGCTGTTTATAGTTCTGAGCCAGTGGTGGAAATTCCACATTCCTGTGGTACTCATTGTATCGACCCGGATGGATGATGGGATGTCAACCTCCAACCAGGATTTGAAGTCACAAAATGGTGGCTGCTTTAATGTACTGTCCTGATCCCTTGTTAACTAAGGTTCTGCTGGGCTTCATTAGCATAACGACAGAGACTTATTTGTGTTGTCTAAAAATGTTGCGTAACTCTTTATGTTGAATGTGAACATTGGAATACACTTTTTGTCTTTTTTGTAACATTGCTGAGAATGCAAGTGTTGTTGCCTACTTAAATTCCAATTTGATAAGAGATTGGCCCAAGACCGTATCGCTGGCACTGCCCTCTTTCCTAGGTGTTCCAGCTGAGAGCCTGCTCAAACTGGACATAGACGATTAAGAAAATAATAGTCTCCCCTTGAAAAAACTGAAATCCCCTGGACAATTATGGCATTATTTTTTAAATAAATGAAATCTATGAATTAGTTTGTTACTATACACATACGGTCATTTAAAACATATTTCAATCGAAAACCCTTTTTGGGTTTAAATCTCAGCGCATGCTGTGTTTCCACTAACAACAAATGGACGGAGCAATTTCTTTCACTGCAGAGACATTGACAATTCCATCAAATCCACACGATCTCATTTCAGCCAATCGCAGCGATATGGCATGCGTGACGTGAATACATTTAAGAAATAATTCATAAAAGTGTACTGTAAACCTAAAATGACATTTATTTCTACTTCGTAAAAAACAAATGTGAATATAATCACTGTTGCGTGCAACATTGTATACAAACGATGGCATTTAGTTTGACCGTTAGGACACGACTCATTTTACGGAAACACTGGAATGAGATTGTGATCGCATTATATGTACAGTGTGGGGTAGCACAATTGGTTAAGTTGCATTCAACACCTGAAGCTAAAATGTATCTCAGATTGCCAATCAAAGCAATGCAAGTTAAAGGGGAAAACAAATATCACAATTGCCTTTGGTGTAAGATGAATAATGGAGTGAAATTAGTGGACTTTGAAAAAAACCCAGAATAACTCTTACAAAGCACAGCATCACTCTCAGAAGCAGTGCTGTGATGGTGTTGATATACAAACGGTTGCCGGGGAAAATGCAAATGCTCCCGGTAATGATGGTCTCAGCCCCGCAGGACACACTGGATTCCTGTTTGATCCTTTGATTGAATCAGTTCGTGCAGGTGGAACCTCTTGATGGGAGTAGAGCCCATTTAAAAAATTCGATGCTGAGTGTTCCCAAGTGCTTGGGGATCATTTCATTTTTTTGGTTCTCATTGCTGGCCTCTGCCAATTAGTTAACCTCTTTGACATTGCCGGAAATAATGACAACAATAAAATAGCAAAATAGCAAAATGATCCATCATGCCACTCCCATCTGGTGCAAGGGCATACTAGCAGTTTTATAGTTGTGAGCTTCAGATTCAAATTAACACCCAAGCACACACGCACAGAGCCCAGTATCTGTACCATGGATACATATTTCAGACGCTTTTAGCGCTTACATCTGATTCTGGATCTTTTGTGAAATGATGGATTGTGTTTGATATGAGCTCTCTGACATTTCATGGGATTTCGTGACATTTGAGGCTTTATTGAGAATGAGCGTCCCTGGTAAGTGTGATAGGCAAAGAGAGAAAACGCTGGGTAAAAACAAGGGTGGGATGGGGAATGTAGTCCAATAAAGGATGAATCCTCGCAAAACACCTGCTGAAGATTAAGCCTTTCGCAAAATAATTTAAAAGTCACAACAAAATGACAGAATCTTAGATGAACCTGTTCAGGTAATTTTGGTGTTCTCTGTAAGGTTATTGGATGTGGTGTAATGGTTAGCACACTCTGTACTTGCAATCCAGAGGTCTCTGATTTGATTAGATTTTTCAGCGTGGCAATTAAAACAATGTCCCAGGTTTCTAAAATCCCTCCACCTCTGTTCCCCCATCAGTATACTTGGGTATACACACCACAGTCGATTGGCAAGTTGTGTGTGGTGTGGTAAAGTATAGATACTCCCACCTCTTCCAAGTTATCTGCTCAGCGCGGAAGAGTAAACTTAAACAGTGGTTCTCAACCTGGGATACGTGGACCTCTGGGGGTACGTGGCAATGTCCCAGGGGGGTATGTGAGGTGATTTCAAATGTGTGAAATTATATCATACATGAGAGTCATTTGGTAAAGAAATCATATATAAATCTGCCTATATAAAATAACTACGATACATTTTTTCCATATGGTAACCGAGAACGATATTAAAGACCTCTCTCAACGTAATGATCGTAAACAATGTGGTTTCCTAGAATAACCAGCGAGCACAGACAAATTGCGTCACGCATGCTGAGCGTCCGTTGACATTTTATTTTTATTCGCTTGCAGTCACTCGCTAGTTAGGATACCTCACAAAATGGTAAATTGGTTAAAATATTGATGTTAATTATTTATACATGTATTTCACAGAACTATGTTGGGCCAGGCAGAGGGAGGGGGGGGGGGCGTATTCAGTTGAAACAAAATTCAACAAGGGGGTAGAGTAGCCCAAAAAGTGTTGAGAACCACTGAGCTATAAATACCCTTGAGAGGGTCTCTCTAGAACCCCCTCTAGCAGAGGGCCTTCTGCCAGGAGTGGCACGAGTGCGACATGTCAGGGCAAATCGCACCTTTACACGTATGATAATAGTTTTTAATCTACAGGCCGTGATATGCTACGATGCGGTGCATGCAAACTGAACGTGGAGCGAGGGCTCAAATCCATTGGTGGTGCTGAGCCTGTGGTAGAACAGACACATTGCTATGGGAGAGGCTCGTATATGTGAGACACAAGTGGTATGGATATTATCAACCCTACAGGGATGATGAGCAGAGTCGACCCTCGACCGGATTTGAACTCGCAACCTTTTTCATTTGAGTCGAGGACTGTAATTGCATTGCTACCCAGTGACTAATGCATAATAATAATGCCGTATTGTGTGCATGTGATGTCTCCAGCCGATACACTCTGCTCTTCCGATGAACATGGAGAAATTCCCAATCAATGATGGGAATGGCCAGTCCTATGGATATGCGCTCTACGAGACGAAAATCCGTCACGGAGGCTTACTCAAGTCCAACTTGAACGTGCATGATCGGGCACAGGTGAGCATTGTCTCGTCATCATCTGTAAACTAAAATAAAAAATTACGCAGGGTTCAGATGGTCATGTCAAGTACAATATTTTCGTGTCAACGTGTGGCAATTTTCTGGCACAGATTTGCCACCCAAAGTGCCATTATAAAGTTAAACATGAAAATAAACAATTTTATAGAGTTAAAATATCTATTTGAAAGCCATTTGTGGCTGTCAGTTGTATGCAAGTGAAAATGAAATAGGTTTTCTGGTTGTGGTGGCAGACACCTGTAGCTCATTGCATTTAAAATGTGGTTGCTGAATTGGACATGGATTCATATGCGTGAGATCTACCTGCAGGTCAGTAAAGTTCCAGGAGGAGGTAGTACAGAAACGATGTTGCTGACCTAAGGCTACGTATTTGTTTGTTATCCCCCCATAAGTTTTGGTTTCTCCAAGCTGCCTAGTTATATTCAATGTCACAAGATATCCCTTCAGGAATTGATAACATATTCAAAGCAGGTCCATAAAGAAAAGAATACTGAAACTCAGTGAGTATTTTTTTTAACATGTATGCACAAAGATCCTCCCTTTAGCCTTAACAGATTGTTGGGCAAGTGCTGTAGGCGAGCACCGATGAAGGCCTGCATGGTACACAAGGGGGTGGTGGCCAGCACCATGTTCGGCTGCCTTTGTCTCCCTAGTGGTGATGTTTACACATTGCACCAAGTCTTTGGGGCTAACTTGACCTAGGGGAGGCCCAGGACTGGCTCAGGTATACTTCACCAATGTTGACCAAGATCAGGAATCGAACTTTGGTCGCTGGGTTCATAACACAATGCGATAACCACTAAACGACAACTCCTCATACACACAAGCACACACATTTACGCATACATGCGCACACAAGTGTATTCAAAAGGACACCGATACATCCTACATAGACCTTTGGAGAAAGTTCTGTTAGCAAGCACCAGTTCAATCCGGAATGGTGCACGATGGGTTGGGATAGCCACCACCATGTTATTTATATACTGCACCAGGTATTTATTAAGGCTGAGTCGGCCTAGGGGCAAGCCCAGACCCAGTTGTGTAATCATTATTGTTTTCCGTGGTTGAACATCAAACTCGGGTTGCTTGGTTCATATCACATTACGCTGACCACTGCCATCATTCCCGAAAAAATAATCCATTTTCAATTTTTATAGTGCCCTTTTTTTATCATAATCTTTTGTCTGTCCACATCCGCATCTATGTAAGATTGCGAATTACCTATTTATTTCTTACATTCTAAAGTTTATTGCATTACTCATTTGGGCATCCTAATTGGTCTCGTATAGGAGCACATTGCAGAGTGACCCAGACTCTGGTATGGACACAATGTGGAGGAGGGTGCCTTGTGCTTTGAGAGTGCTCTTAGCATTTGAGGACATATTAAATGAGATGGCTTCTTTGTTTGTGGGAATAAAAAGCTCCTCCTATACATTATGCAACGATATATTTCGTATTAATCAGTGCATTATTTAGAAAGTCGGTTTGTGTTCTTTATCCGCACAAACCACGGAATATTCGGATATAGTGCACAAATAGAAAATGAAAGGGACACCTGTGCACAACTGCAGCTATGAACTCCAAGCCCTGGACCGCGTAACTTCGCACTGCCCCAAATATAAACTTGAAGGTGGTGGTGTATCTACAATTCGCCCACTTTCAGACAAACCAATATAATGGATAAATAAATTTCTAGTGAACCTCTAAGAGTTCTTCTTCATAAACCAATACAACAGAAGAAGAAAAATAACTGTTTTCTCATGTTGAGCTCATCTCTCTGCAATGCGGAAAAGATAGGATCATTCATTCTAGATTTGAAGTTTTTGTGACTGCAAGGGTCCATACTCTTTGTTTTTTTCGGTAAAGTCACGTAGGTAAAAATGTTGTTTTAATCACGACGTTTCGGAGGCAACACAAGCTTCCATCTTCAGGTCAAACCGTTACAGCAAAATGAATGTATCAAGTGAAGAGAGTTCTAAGAGACACGAGATTATATACAGGTTAAGGGGGGGGGGGAGGAGCCAACCTATTCCCAGCTTGATTAGCCACCCTTTTTAAATCCTTTATATTAAGTTCGCTTGCTTGCTTAGGACCGTGCACATTTTTCGGTCGTTTTTTAACCCACTTCCCGTGATTCAATCGAGCTGACCTTTTGCACACAGACTCGTTGTGCGTGACAATGCATTTTCATGAAAAAATGTTTCCAAAATTTTACACTGTTTAGGGAAATTTTTTAAAATATTTAATTACCAATTGTTTAATGCTGCCAGACAATCATCTGACCCATAGGTGGCAGCCATCTCAAGCCAGAGGACGAGAGGACTCTAGCCGCCCCGATGCCACGCATATAAAGGATTTATAGTGAAAAACTTTGTTTATACGGGTTAATTTTTTAACCAAGTCAAACCTAAGTTAAACTTTAGCAGCCTCATAGTTTACTGCAGTATACTGCAAGGCAACCAGTTTGTCAGCTTAAATACTGCCTCCTGTTTGTGTGTCTATTTTTTTCTAACCACTTGCCATCCCCTGCACACAGTGCTCTATCCGTCCCCTAACCCCCTGCAGCATCACAACAGGCGGCTTAACTTAGCCCCCCCCCACGGCCCATTCTGGCTCCTCCCCCTTCCCTTAACCTGTATATAATCTCGTGTCTCTTAGACCTCTCTTCACTTGATACAGTAATTTTGCTGTAACGGTTCCACCTGAAGACGGAAGCTTGTGTTGCCTCCGAAACGTCGTGATTCAATTTAAATTATTTTATTTTGTTACCTACGTGACTTTACTGAAAAAACCCCAAAGAGTAAAGATAGGATCAGTTAGAAAAAGCCGCACTCCAAAATTAGTTCAGTACATTATAAGTAATTCCACCTTTAATTTCTATATAAATCAAGCAATATAAACAGTAGTAACACCTCTACTTTACCCCATCATATGCATTCAACCAGTTGTTTGACTGCAGGGTCAGTGGTGGGTAAAGTGAAGTACACTATTTCCTCATACATCTGAATGTCAATTCATTTACGTATTTGGTGGGGCTGCCTAGTTTGTATTTGGGGAACACTTGTGTGCATATTTTTGCATACGGTATTCCCTCGCTATTCACGAGGGATATGTTCCGGAGATGCTCGTGAACAGCAAATTTTGTGGATTATATCGACCTACGAACATCGTACGCACAATGTTTGCAGATGCTTCTAAAGCTTCGAGAAGTCTCTTTCTCGCATCTCTTACCACTTTCGCTGTCATCACTTTATCTCATCACTTCATCTCATCACATTCTCTTTCATCACTTTATCTCAACACGTTCTTTCCCTATATATCGATGCAGTCGTGTAGAGTTCCAGATGCGATTAGCGGATAGCCAAAATCGCGGATAGCAAGGTCGTGAATAACAAGGGAATACAGTAAAGTCAACATGATCATCGGCCATGGTTAATCCTCTGCTGGGTGAAAGCCGCCTTAACCGCTGCCACCTTTCATTATCGTACCTTTTTCATAATCTCCCGAGCATCTGCACACGAGCCGATATCATCACTGCACCTCTCTGGTTGACATCCTCTCAGATGCCTTCTGTTCTTTGGCTGCCACTCCATTATTATTCCTCACCATGAGCCCTCTTCCGTCATAGTGACGTGTTCTGCCTGACCCTACTTAAATGTCTTACGTTTGGATGCTTACCTTTTTATTAACTTGCATATGTTCTCTCATCTACGCAGTTCCCTTTTTGTATCTTTAAGTTTAATTTATTTGTTTGAATACAAAACGAATATATCTTAGTATAACTTATGTTACTGCAGAGTTGTGGACCGAATTGTATAGCATTGTATTGTAATGTTTTGTTTGTTATTTGACTTCAGCCCGCCCTGACTCGTGTGGTGAAGCATGCTCAGTTAACCCTGACGACCCACAGAGGGGTGCAGAGGCCCTCCTCCAACATATTTACAAAAGGATGGCAGTGTATATGAGCCCAGTGAGATGAGCTGCTTGCAATGTTGACATTCGTAAGAATGGTCAGTTGGTGGCATTTCTCAATGTGGTTGTTGGAAAATATTTGGGATTTGGGTTATGATTCCACGATGCAGTGGCCGATATTAAAAAAGCAGCACACATGACCTTTAAAAAAAGACAAGCAAAAGAGTAATCTCTCTTGGAAAATAAGTGCTCTAGAAAGGAACGTGTGTGTGTTATAGAACTTGCTGTGCCTTGTATGACCCTTAGACTTTTGGCTCTGCTAACTGTTGGTCACCTAATATACAAACCTATAGCCCATATGTTCAACCTGTCCATCAAAGAAGTGTAATGCGGGCGTAAATGGGCGGGGCGGATATGACGATCCGAGAGGGAGGAGTCAGGGTGACGTGGGGGAGAAGTTATAGCGGGGAGACAGGAAGCTATCTGGGTCAGTCGGGGGAGTGAAGGGTGGTGAACACGTTGGGTGGTCGCCGTGCCTCAGCCTGGTGGCTGAGGGGCTCATGACGGCGCCAGCCAGCGGGGTGGAAGAGAGAGTGGAGGATTGAGGTAGGAAGTGGCGAGATAGCCACAGAGGCCACGAAGGGCTGAGGTAGGAAATGGCGAGATAGCCACAGAGGCCACGAAGGGCTGAGGTAGGAAATGGCGAGATAGCCATAGAGGCCACGAAGGGCTGACATTGGGAGGTGGCGAGATCGCCACGCACGGAGGAACAGGGAGCAGAGATGGAGCTGCTGGGGGAGCAGCCAGAGGGCTGTACCAAGAGCCTGCAGCGGAGCTGCAGGAGCGTGGAAGGCTACGGGAGCGAAGGCAGATGTGGGGCTGCCAGGGAGAGAGTCTCAGGAGGAGTGCCGTGTGGGAAGGAGAACGCGAACCCCAAATAAAGGACACGGAGTCAGCAAGAAGTGTCTGAGTCCTTTTATTACACTGGAGTCAGAAGTGAAACGGCATCTCAAAACAACTGAGAGAAAGAAGAAAAAAAAAAGAATATTCCTGCGCCATCATCTGCT